GTTTGGAGGACAAAGAATGCTGAGTTGCATCCAAAGAACACCATACCTACTGTGAAGCATGGGGGTGGAAACATCATGCTTTGGGGCAGTTTTTCTGCAAAGGGACCAGGACGACTGATCCGTGTAAAGGAAATAATGAATGGGGCCATGTATCGTGAGATTTTGAGTGAAAACCTCCTTCCATCAGCAAGGGCATTGAAGATGAAACGTGGCTGGGTCTTTCAGCATGACAATGATCCCAAACACACCGCCCGGGCAACGAAGGAGTGGCTTCGTAAGAAGCATTTCAAGGTCCTGGAGTGGCCTAGCCAGTCTCCAGATCTCAACCCCATAGAAAATCTTTGGAGGGAGTTGAAAGTCCGTGTTGCCCAGCGACAGCCCCAAAACATCACTGCTCTAGAGGAGATCTGCATGGAGGAATGGGCCAAAATACCAGCAACAGTGTGTGAAAACCTTGTGAAGACTTACAGAAAACGTTTGACCTGTGTCATTGCCAACAAAGGGTATATAACAAAGTATTGAGAAACTTTTGTTATTGACCAAATACTTATTTTCCACCATAATTTGCAAATAAATTCATAGAAAATCCTACAATGTGATTTTCTGGATTTTTTTTCTCATTTTGTCTGTCATAGTTGACGTGTACCTATGATGAAAATTACAGGCCTCTCTCATCTTTTTAAGTGGGAGAACATGCACAATTGGTGTCTGACTAAATACTTTTTTTCCCCCACTGTACATCATTCATGGTTGGACGCGTATCCTGTCGGATGCCATGGTTGCCCTTAGTTTGAAGATGTAATACGGAGACAGGCGTTTTCTCCATCTCCTTAGCTATCATACTTTCAAAACTCAGTCCTCTACAAAATGTTTGTTTTTTTAAAGCCGCGTTAAGACAGGATTACCTAGACATACTGACCAGCTCATTCTTCTTCAATGACGTTTAATGGCGGTTGGCATCCAATAAATACTGACCAGCTCAAATAGACAGAATCAAGCTATATGGCAGACCAATCCAAACTCATCTCTCGGCATGTCCAGCCCACTCATTATCTCAGCCAATCATGGCTAGCGGGAAGGTTGCTGTCTTTTTCTTTGGCTAAACCAACTAGGCTTGTACTTTAACAATTGTATTCCGTATTTACAGATGGCATACAAGTTTATTATTAAGGCACATGAAAGTTCACATTTTGGAGAAGTCATTTCTGCCAAAAAACGCATTTAGATTTAAAAAAAAAGTTTACCTTCAAATGGCTCTCCTGTGAAGTAGTGACAGGCCGCAACATACGCCTAGTTTCCTAAAGTCAAGGGGTGTGAATACTTTCTGAAGAGACTGTACATACTTTTCAAAAGTACCCTTGTAATCACTACTGCAGATACTTGCACAATAGTGTTTGTTGAGTTATATTTAGGATACAAATCTGGAGAAGATATTAGCTATCGAGAAAATGACATTGGTGATGAGGTTGTGAGGCACAGGTCTTCTTTGCTCCATGTCGTATACTAACTCAAATTATCTTTTCCATTTCAGATTTTTCTATATTTATACCTTAATCAAATGTATCGTAGATACCCTGAACAAGACTGCGGCTGAAAAATGCCCATACAGAGGCGTTTTGAGGTTATGGCACTCCTCATTTTTTATATTCTTTGTTTTTATACAAGATCAAATAAACCTGGTCTGCTGTCCACTGGTTTTACTATGAGGATTCAGCACCAGACTACTTTTGAGAAAGAATTTGAGGAATTACTTTATTTATTTAGTGGACAAAATTAACCAGATAACATTGAAAATATGACATCTTTACCAGGCGTCTTGGTGTAGTTATAAAAAACATTTAGCTTATTGTAATCTGGTAATATTGTCACGTCTAGATTCCAACCAATGAAAAAATAATTGCCACGGTTACGTCAATAGAACAATTTATTTACCCACATGAGAAAATACTGATTCAGACAGGTTATGTGGCATGTACGGAAAATCTGCAGTTTGTACAAGCTTACGTTTGTCTCCATTTTATAAACCGAATTTGGAATACTATGAATGGTCTATAATAAATATAATATTATGTGCTTTACGGTGAGCTAAGGATTGGTCAGCCTTAAAGCCTGAATGCAACATCTGAACACCTCTGCATCACTAGCTCACCTTGGTGGCAAATCTTATAACCTTATACAAAATCTTAACAGATTTATTTTCCATCTTTAACCAATATAAAACTTTATTCAATATTTTATGATTTCCATGAATAAATTATATTTCTTTGTATCAAAAATAATATATAAAGAACTGGCCATTGTGTTATGTGCATTTCTGCATATCCACAATGGACTAACATCAAAGACAAGTATGTACAGCCTTTCTTCATCCCCATAGGTCAGTGTTTCCCAACTCCAGTCCTCCAGTACCCCTTTTGTTGTTGCCCCAGACAAACTCGCTTGATTCAACTCATTGTGGGATTGAATCAGGTGTGTTTGTCTGGGGCTACAACAATAATGTGTGTTGCTGTGGGTAGTTAATGACAGGAGTTGGGAAAAACTGACGTAGGTGACTGAATTCGCATTTAAAAAATAGCAACATTAAATTAGGATATTATGATACACATACATTCTGTATATACAGTTGAAGTCGGAGGTTTACATACACCTTAGCCAAATACATTTAAACTCAGTTTTTCACAATTCCTGACATTTAATCCTAGTAAAAATTCCCTGTCTTAGGTCAGTTAGGATCACCACTTTATTTTAAGAATGTGAAATGTCAAAATAATAGTAGAGAGAACGATTTATTTCAGCTTTTATTTATTTCCTCACATTCCCAGTGGGTCAGAAGTTTACATACACTCAATTAGTATTTGGTAGCATTGCCTTTAAATTGTTTAACTTGGGTCAAACGTTTTGGGTAGCCTTCCACAAGCTTCCCACAATAAGTTGGGTGAATTTTGGCCCATTCCTCCTGACAGAGCTGGTGTAACTGAGTCAGGTTTGTTGGCCTCCTTGCTCGCACACGCTTTTTCAGTTCTGCCCACATATTTTCTATAGGATTGAGGTCAGGGCTTTGTGATGGCCACTCCAATACCTTGACATTGTTGTCCTTAAGCCATTTTGCCACAACTTTGGAAGTATGCTTGGGGTCATTGTCCATTTGGAAGACCCATTTGCGACCAAGCTTTAACTTCCTGACTGATGTCTTGAGATGTTGCTTCAATATATCCACATAATTTTCCTTCCTCGTGATGCCATCTATTTTGTGAAGTGCACCAGTCCCTCCTGCAGCAAAGCACCCCCACAGCATGATGCTGCCACCCCCGTGCTTCACGGTTGGGATGGTGTTCTTCGGCTTGCAAGCGACTCCCTTTTCCCTCCAAACATATCGATGGTCATTATGGCCAAACAGTTCTATTTTTGTTTCATCAGACCAGAGGACATTTCTCCAAAAAGTACGATCTTTGTCCTCATGAGCAGTTGCAAACTGTAGTCTGGCTTTTTTATGGCGGTTTTGGAGCAGTGGCTTCTTCCTTGCTGAGCGGCCTTTCAGGTTACGTCGATATAGGATTAGTTTTACTGTGGATATAGATACTTTTGTACCTTCACAAGGTCCTTTGCTGTTGTTCTGGGATTGATTTGCACTTTTCGCACCAAAGTACGTTCATCTCTAGGAGACAGAACGCATCTCCTTCTTGAGCGGTATGACGGCTGCATGGTCCCATGGTGTTTATACTTGCATACTATTGTTTGTACAGATGAACCTGGTACCTTCAGGCGTTTGGAAATTGCTCCCAAGGATGAACCAGACTTGTGGAGGGCTACACATTTTTTTCTGCGGTCTTGGCTGATTTCTTTTGATATTCCCATGATGTCAAGCAAAGAGGCACTGAGTTTGAAGGTAGGCCATGAAATACATCCACAGGTGCACCTCCAATTGACTCAAATGATGTCAATTAGCCTATCAGAAGCTTCTAAAGCCATGACATCATTTTCTGGAATTTTCCAAGCTGTTTAAAGGCACAGTCAACTTAGTGTATGTAAACATCTGACCCACTGGAATTGTGATACAGTGAATTACAAGTGAAATAATCTGTCTGTAAACAATGTAAACAAAAATTACTTGTGTCATGCACAAAGTAGATGTCCTAACCGACTTGCCAAAACTATAGTTTGTTAACAAGAAATGTGTGGAGTGGTGGAAAAACGAGTTTTAATGACTCCAACCTAAGTGTATGTAAACTTCCGACTTCAACTGTACATGTGTCATTACAATATATAACAAGTGGTTTCTAAAACATAAAAATTTAAAAAGTGTAAGAAAAATGGCAGTGATCCATTTATACTGTTTCACAGTTCATATAAATATGAGAAATCTATTTTCCAACCATTTGATTTCTAGGCAGTAGCATTATACAAAAATGGAGGTGTTAATTGAACTTTGATCCAGCCACTGCAGCTACCTGTATCAGTTCTAAGGGGCATCAAGATGGCTCACACAAATAAATACCTCTAATCCTGCTCTTGGAGAACTACAGTACTGCATGTACCAGCTCAGCAGTGAAACACCTGATTCAGCTCACCAGGGGCTTGAAGATCAGTTGATTAGTTGAATCAGGTGTGATGGCACTAAGCTGGGTCAAAAACCTGCAGAACTGCGGCTCTCCAGGAGAAGGTTTGAGGATTACTGATTTAGAGGAAAATTAGGCTCCCTCCTCCCACTAAGTGGGATAAATAGATACCTCTCCATCTCTCTCTATACAGCCTGAAATCAGAGAGTAGTGAGATTAGTGGTTTGGTATAGGGGGCAATGAGGTGGATCGACCCTCAGACACTGCATAGATCTGAAAGAACTAAGAAAGGTGTAACCAGTAGGCATACTCCTTGCCATACACCCATCCAGACCTACGAGGAGTGTCCAGGTAAGCTTAAAGCCATCCAGACCTTTCTGACCTATGATAAGTGTGTAAGGTTCAGTGCTGATTTGGGGCCCGGGCAATAGTGTCTCCCCATCGCTACAGGTAGTTGGAGGTGACAAAGGCTTGGTCGTGGCGCACGCGGCTCTGGTGGACCATGGCGCGGTCGTAGGCCACCTGCACAGACTTGCGGATCGTGGTCTTCCTGCCCTCCATCATGTGCAGCTTGTCAGCCGTGTCGTCCACACCCAGAGGAGTCACCTTGTCCCGTGGTAGCCACTGCCTACAGGGGGCAAGAGATGGGAGGGCCGTTGAAGCAAATTCATTCAATTCACACATGCGTATTAATACACACTTGTACATGTGTGAAATAGGACAAGCACCCACCAAATTATTATCCATTGACTTTGAGCAGGTGTTCCTATGTTCAGGAAAAAGCTAAAGGTGACCTGATGAAGTCCCAAATTCCAATACAATGAACATACTTTTATATGAATCACATATAGTATGTTATAACTAGGGCCAGGACTTTTTTCACAGACTAGGCTATACTTTCTACTCATTGATTGTTAAAAATCAGGTGTATTATAAGCAGAGGAATGTGTCTATCCAACAGTTATTGACCGCAATGAGCTCAAATAGACATTGGACATGGTCATTGAGATTAGACACATGGGCCTTTACACAATAGCAAAACTTGTCAAAGGTTTGTGGGCATGTTCTTCAGTAGAACCCAAAGATATGAAGCAGCCGTAAAATCTAGATAAGAGGTTCGAGAGCTGCTTGTGGTCACTCATCCAAGTGGTAGCCAAACACCGCCCCCGTCTCACCATGTCCTCTTGTTGTCGAAGAAGAGCACCAAAAATAGCTTCTCCCCGGCCTCCTCCGTCCTCTGCTCCCCCAGCTGCAGGACGTCCAGCGGCGGCACGGGGATGGGCACCCCGTTGTGCAACAAGCCCTCCTTGGGCATCTCAGGGTCAATTATCTGGACAATGGGAAAGATGGATTGATTGGGGGCAAGATGCTTTGTGTTAAATTGGCTTTTAGGGTGGTTTAAGCTTAATTTTTACAGTTAAAAGGCGTCATACACTGAGCAGTATGGGGCATGGTCTACACCCTTCAAACTCAACTCTGGACCTCAAAGCCAGTTCCACTGCTTTTTTTCATTGTTCCCCTCTAATCAGTGACTGATTTAGACCTGGGACACCAGGTAGGTGCAATTAATTATCAGGTAGAACAGAAAACCAGCAGGCTGCAGACCTCGTAGTTGAATACCCCTGGTCTATAAACTAATTCTGTGTGATTCTGAACTACCCTTTAGAAATTGTCATTCTATTCAACAGCAAATATGCACCAAAATGCAATACGCTTTCTATTAGTGGATTTCTGAGTGGCCTAACTTTAAATCTCCATATTTCAGACCGAAAACCATTTCCAAAATGATAACCCTATGATGATCAGCTCAGGTAACTGCTGCTCTTATCAATTTGGGGCCTGTCTCAGTGTAGGAGCAGATGTTTGCCCACTGCATTCTCTCACCAATGCAGGGTAGGAGGGGTACCCCCGACACTTGGCCCAGACCAAGTCCAGGGATTCCAGCGCCGCACCGTTCTCAAAAGGCATCAGGATACCACTGCCTGTGGAGACAGAGGGGAAAACAAAATACAAATATGCTAACGTCACAAAATGGCTTTTGTAGTAAATGAAGTACAGAGTTTACTTTGTAGAAGCACATTTGGCAGCGATTACAGCTGTGAGTCTTTTGGGGGTAAGTCTCTAAGAGCTTTCCACACTTGGATTGTGCAACATTTGGCCATTATTCTTTTCAAAATTATTCAAGGTCTGTCAAATTGGTTGTTAATCATTGCTAGACAACCATTTTCAGGTCTTGCCATGGATTCTCAAGTAGATTTAAGTCAAAACTGTATCTCGGCCACTCAGGAACATTCACTGTCTTCTTGGTAAGCAATTCCAGTGTAGATTTGGCCCTGTGTTTTAGGTTATTGTCCTGCTGAAAGGTGAATTTGTCTCCAAGTGACGGCTGGAAAGCAGAGATTTCTCCTATCACAGCCATTAAAGTCACCTTTGGCCTCATTTTTAGGTCTCAAATTTCCTGAGTGGTTTCCTTCTCAGGAAGGACGCCTATATTGTTGTAGTGACTGGGTGTATTGTTACATCCAAACTGTAATTAATAACTTTACCTTGCTCAAAGGTATATTCAATTTCTGCTTTTTTTTATTTTTACCCATCTACCAATAGGTGCCGCCCTTTGCGAGGCATTGGAAAACCTTGGTCTTTGTGGTTGAATCTGTGTTTGAAATTCACTGCTCGATTGAGGGACGTTACAGATAATTGTATGGGGGATGCTACAGAGATGAGGTAGTCATTCAAAAATCATGTTAAACACTATTATTGCACTATTATTGAGAGTGAGTCCATGCAACTTATTATGTGACTTGTTAAGCAAATCTTTACTGAACTTATTTAGGCATAAAATAACAAAAGGGGTTGAATACTTATTGACTCAAGAATTAAAAACATAACTCCACTTTGACATTATGGGGTATTGTGTGTAGGCCAGTGACCAAAAATGTCAAATGAATCCATTTTAAATTCAGGCTTTAACACCACAAAATGTGGAAAAAGTAAAGGGTGTGAATACTTTCTGAAGGCACTGTATGTCACTGCAAATGTAGTTTTTGTATTTAATTTGAGTTTTCTGAAAATATGAGTTGGGACAAGTTGGAGGTACAAATGTCTTTATTGAGATGTTTTAAATGCACTACCAGGGTTTTATCTGGATAAAAAAGGGGCTTAGGTGGTATGCGTGGCAGGAGGAGTGGCAATGGACGTGCACGTTGCGGCTGAACTTTAGAGAATCTTTTTGAGGCCCCCATCTTGGCAGTGTAGATACATTTTTGAATTTTTAAGCCAGTTTCCTGTGATTCTACATATTCTGCCATGGAGCCGAGAGAAAATGTTGCAGTTTTAAAGCAAATTTCCTACAATTCTAGGCATTTTGCTATGGCTAGTGCTTTGTTCTTTTGCTGAAACATAATAAATTGAATACTGCTAAATTAATTTTGGGGGGAATTTTCTATTCTCCCTGACTGTATTGCTTTTATTTAGTTGACTGTTAGTTTTCATTTTTTTTTTTATATCTGGTTTTAGCCGTTTAAGATTACACTGAAAGCGTTTTTCCATCCTGAAAATACATTTCAATTTTACGTTTCACGGATGAATCCCGGTTTCAACTGTACCGGGCAGATGGCAGAGCATGTATGGCGTTGTGTGGGCGAGCGGTTTGCTGATGTCAACTTTGTGAACAGAGTGTCCCATGGTGGAGGTGGGGTTATGGTATGGGCAGGCATAAGCTATGGACAACGAACACAATTGCATTTTATCGATGGCAATTTGAATGCAGAGATACCGTGACGAGATCCTAAGGCCCATTGTTGTGCCATTCATCCGCCGCCATCACCTCATGTTTCAGCATGACAATGCATAAACCCATGTCGCAAGGATCCGTACACAATTCCTTGAAGCTGAAAATGTCCGACTTCTTCCATGGCTTGCATACTCACCAGATATGTCATCCATTGAGCATGTTTGGGATGCTCTGGATCGACTTGTACGACAGCGTGTTTTAGTTCCCGCCAATATCCAGCAACTTGAAGAGGAGTGGGACAACATTCCACAGGTCACAATCAACAGCCTGATCAACTCTATGAGAAGGATATGTGTCGTGCTGCAAGAGGCAAATGGTGGTCACACCAGATACTGACTGGTTTTCTGATACCTAACTTTTTTTAAAGGTATCTGTGACCAGTCATGTGAAATCCATAGATTAGGTCCTAATTTATTTATTTAAATTGACTGATTTCCTTATATGAACTGTAACTCAGTAAAATCTTTCAAATTGTTGCATGTTGCGTTTATATTTTTGTTCAATGTAGATCAATGATGGTGACAGTCACACATGGTATAAGAAACTACTTCTAATAACCATTCAAAGCTAAATCAAAGAAATTACTTATGACTCGTTCTCAATGGATGAGTGCAGTTTCGCTAGGGAATATGGAGGATTGACGGAGAAAAGGCGAGAGGAAAAAGTACATTTAACATGCTTTGCCCAATCAACATGCTTTGCCCAATCGACTTTTTCCACATTTTGTTACGTTACAGCCTTATTCTAAAATGGATTTAAAAATAAAAATCCTCATCAATCTACACACAATACCCCATAATGACAAAGAAAAAACAGGTTTTTAGACACAATATCAAATTTACATAAGTATTCAGACCATTTACTCAGTACTTTGTTGAAGCACCTCTGGCAACGATTACAGCCTTGAGTCTTCTTGGGTATGACGCTACAAGCTCGGCACACCTGTATTTGTGGAGTTTCTCCCATTATTCTCTGCATATCCTCTCAAGCTCTGTCAAGTTGGATGGGGAGCGTCGCTGCACAGCTATTTTCAGGTCTCTCCAGAGATGTTCGATCGGGTTCAAGTCCGGGCTCTGGCTGGGCCACTCAAGGACATTCAGAGACTTGTCCCGAAGCCACTCCTGCGTTGACTTGGTTTTTTGATTAGGGTCGTTGTCCTGTTGGAAGGTGAATCTTCGCCCCAGTCTGAGCTCCTGAGCACTCTGGAGCAGGTTTTCATTAACAAACTCTCTTTACTTTGTTCCGTTCAACTTTCCCTCAATCCTGACAAGTCTCCCAGTCCCTGCCGCTAAAAAACATCCCCACAGCATGATGCTGCCACCACCATGCTTCACCGTAGGGATGGTGCCAGGTTTCCTCCAGACGTGACGCTTGGCATTCAGGCCAAAGAGTTAAATGTAGGTTTAATCAGACCAGAGAATCTTGTTTCTCATGGTCTGAGAGTCCTTTAGGGGCTTTTTGGCAAACTCCAAGAGGGCTGTCGTGCCTTTTACTGAGGAGTGGCTTCTGTCTGGCCACTAAACCATTAAGGCCTGATTGGTGGAGTGCTGCAGAGATGGTTGTCCTTCTGGAAGGTCTCCCATCTCCACAGAGGAACTCTGGAGTTCTGTCAAAGTAACCATCAGGTTCTTGGTCACCTCCCTGACCAAGGCCCTTCTCCCCCGATTGCTGAGTTTGGCTGGGTGGCCAGCTCTAGGAAGAGTCTTGGTTGTTCCAAACTTCTTCCATTTAAGAATGATGGAGGCCACTGTGTTCTTGGGGACCTTCAATGCCGCAGAAATGTTTTGTGTACCCTTCCCCAGATTTGTGACTCGACACAATCCTGTCTCGAAGCTCTATGGACAATTCCTTCAACCTCATGGCTTGGTTTTTGCTCTGACATGCACTGTCAACTATGACACCTTATATAGACAGGTGTGTGTCTTTCCAAATCATGTTCAATCAATTGAATTCTTCTTCTTCTTCAGTGGGGTTTATCTGCGGTTGGCATCCAACGTTATGGTGCATTACCGCCACCTACCGTACTGGAGTGTGGGCCAGAGACAGGGATAAACTAAATCCTACCTGCCAACCCTGTTTCTCTTAAAAAAGATAACAAAATATTTGAGACTTTATCTAATGACGCTCTACTCAATACAATCTCTAAACTAATTTCCTGTATCCCCTTCTCCCTCATACTAAATCTCATCCTCTCTCTTTCCCTCTGATACTGCCCACACTGTAGCAATACATGCTCCACAGTCTCTATTTCCTGACGATAATCACACTTTCCTGATGGATGCTTTCCTATCACGTTTAATGTCTTATTCAACTGGCTGTGTCCCACCCTTAATCTTGTAAAAATAGCCTCCTCTCTTCTGTCCCTTCCTGCCATCCTCCCCTCCCTGACTTTCCTCTGTACTTGAAATAAATGCCTTCCCTAATTATTTATATTCCACTGCTCCTGCCATCTCTTCACCATCACTGTATATATCAGTATTTTTGCCTCTGCCTTGCTCATTGACACTTCAACATCAACATCCCCACTACTAAGTGCTTGTTTAGCCTGTTCATCTACCGCCCCGTTCCCCTCCACCCCCACATGGGCTGGAACCAAGTAAATCTTATCTGAATAACCAACTGTTTAATCCTGCCATGGGTCTGTATCACCTCATAAAGCAGGTCTTGTCTGCTACGTGAGCTAAAGGACTGGAGACTCATTAACACTGCACATGAATCAGAGCAAATAACTACTCTGTCTGGCTTAACTTCCTCCACCCACTGCAAGGCCAACAGTATGGCCATCAGCTCCGCCATATATACAGCCAGATGATCTGTAATACGTTTCCTGACTTCCACCCCACATTCCTGCACTACAAATGCTGACCCAGTACGTCCTGTCCTTAGATCTTTTGAACCATCTGTGTAAATGGCCACAAAGTCCTGATACACAGTTTCCAGACGTCTCTTAAAGAAATCAGCTGGATCAACACCCTCCATATCTTTCTGTAGTCTATCCAACACTTCTAGATCAACTACTGGAGACGGGAGTAGCCATGGTGGATTGACAGGAATAACTACCGATGGACTAAACACCCTTCCATACAGTCCCATCTCCTTCGCCTGGGTATTACCCACCCACCCAAAGCTTGTGTTCGGTCTTCGCTCATGTTCCCAGCATGCCTGTAAAATCCCTTTCGCAGGATGAGACACCCCATGTCCTTGTAGGTTGATCCAGTAATTCATTGCCAGCTGCGGTCTCCTCATCTGCAACGGCATATCCCCCATCTCCACCTGTAATGCAGCCACTGGGGACGTCCGAAATGCCCCACTACATATTCGGAGTCTTTGCCCCTGTATGACATCTAGCCTTTCCATTGCGGTCCGGGCTGCCGAACCATATGCTATACTTCCATAGTCTATTACAGATCGGATCAATGCAACATACATGGTCTTCAATGAGGAACGCCCAGCCCCCACTCCTTCCCCGTCAGACAGCGCATCACATTTAGCACCTTCTTACACTTTCCCACCACTCTCTCAATGTGTTCTGCCCAGGTCAGTCTAGTATCAAAGTATACCCCAAGGAACCTGAAGGCCCCCACCCTCTTCAAGTTTCTCCCATATAACCTCAAGCATACCTCATCTCCCACCTTCCTCCTGGTAAAGAACACTGTTTGAGTTTTCTCTGCAGAGAACCTGAATCCCCACATTAATGCCCACCGCTCTGCCTCATCAATTGCTTCTTGTACCTTCCTGACTATGTATGGCACATTTCTTCCCCCACTTCCATAAGGCACCATCATCTGCAAATAACGACCTCCTTATATCCGGCTGTACCTGAGAGTAAACATCATTGATCATTACATTTACATTTACATTTACGTCATTTAGCAGACGCTCTTATCCAGAGTGACTTACAAATTGGTGCATTCACCCTATAGCCAGTGGGTAAACCACTTTTTCATTTATTTTTATTTTTTTCATTTTGTTTTCTTTATTTTATTAAAAAATTTTGTTTCTTTTTTTTTGGGTGGGGGGTGGGGGGGGGGGGTTCGTAGAAGGATTACTTTATCCTATCCCAGGTATTCCTTAAAGAGGTGGGGTTTCAAATGTCTCCGGAAGGTGGTGAGTGACTCCGCTGTCCTGGCGTCGTGAGGGAGCTTGTTCCACCATTGGGGTGCCAGAGCAGCGAACAGTTTTGACTGGGCTGAGCGGGAACTATGCTTCCGCAGAGGAAGGGGAGCCAGCAGGCCAGAGGTGGATGAACGCAATGCCCTCGTTTGGGTGTAGGGACTGATCAGAGCCTGAAGGTACGGAGGTGCCGTTCCCCTCACTGCTCCATAGGCAAGCACCATGGTCTTGTAACGGATGCGAGCTTCAACTGGAAGCCAGTGGAGTGTGCGGAGGAGGGGGGTGACGTGAGAGAACTTGGGAAGGTTGAACACCAGACGGGCTGCGGCATTCTGGATGAGTTGTAGGGGTTTAATGGCACAGGCAGGGAGCCCAGCCAACAGCGAGTTGCAGTAATCCAGACGGGATGAACAGAGGACTAACCATGACTGAACAACAGAGGACTAACCATGCTCCCCTGCGGTGTACCATTATCCACCAAGTAGCTGCCTGATAAAGACTTCCCCACCCTCACCTGGATAGGAAATCCTTTATCCAGTTGTACATTCTTCCTCCTACCCCCATAATATCAAGCTTGATAAACAACCCCTCCTTCCTCAATTGAATTAACCACAGGTGTACTCCAATGAAGTTGTAGAAAAATATCAAAGATGATCAATGGAAACAGGATGCACCTGAGCTCAATTTCGAGTCTCATAGCAAAGGGTCTGAATACTTATGTAAATAAGGTATATTTCATATATATATTTTATATTTATATATATAGTCCCGTGTAGCTCAGTTGGTAGAGCATAGCGCTTGCAACGCCAGGGTTGTGGGTTCGATTCCCACGGGGAACCAGTATGAAAATGTATGCACTCACTAACTAAGTTGCTCTGGATAAATGACTAAATGACTAAAAATGTATATATATATATATATATATATATATATATATATATATATATATATATATATTTATTTGCAAAAATGTCTAAAAACCTGTTTTCTCTGTCATTATGGGGTATTGTGTGTAGATTGATGAGAATTTTATTTGTATTAATCCATTTTAGAATAAGGCTGTAACGTAACAAAATGTGGAAAAGGGGAAGGTGTCTGAATACTTTCCGAATGCACTGTACATATAAATGATATATATGTTTTATGTTTATTCGGAATTGTACACATTTGCAGCTGAAAGCGGAATTGCAGCATACATAGGCCTACGTAAGTAAATACATGCATTTTATAATATGAGATGTAGTATACAATATTAAGGTTAAGCAGCATTAAGCAGTCTCACAAAGTAAGGAATAGGGCTGTTGTAGTATCTGTCAGTCCGAGTAGGGGGAAGGTTCAGTTTGTGACTGGATCAGGTAGATCTACCACTGACATGGCCTCTCGTCTGAGGCAAACATTTAATGTAATCCTGTGATTTTTCAAGCTTCTGGGCAAATGATCTGCAGAAGTGGGTGCGGCGGGACTCCAAGGACCGCAAGCCCATATCATTGCATGAAGAGTCGTAGGAGGTGTAGGTGGTGACTATTGTTTTAATGACTGAATGTTTAATGTTTTCTGGTAAACAGTGTAAGGACAACGACCATGCCTTATAAATATGGATAATGAGATCCTCTAATGAGTCCATCAATGATACTCTGATACACATACCTGTAGCGGTGTAATCTGCATCCCCGTTAACAGTATCCAGGAACTGTACTTTGGAAAGTGCTGGTTTTCCGAGGCTACGTTTGGGTGGTGAGCTGCTGTTGGGGTACACAGTACTTCCGTAAGCTGTGCCATTGTACTGCACATACAGTTGAAGTCGGAAGTTTACATACACTTAGGTTGGAGTCATTAAAACTCGTTTTTCAACCACTCCACAAATTTCTTGTTAACGAACTATAGTTTTGGCAAGTCGGTTAGGACATCTACTTTCTGCATGACACAAGTACATTTTCCAACAATTGTTTACAGACAGATTATTTCACTTGTAATTCACTGTATCACAATTCCAGTGGGTCAGAAGTTTACATACACTAAGTTGACTGTGCCTTTAAACAGCTTGGAAAATTCCAGAAAATGATGTCATAGCTTTAGAAGCTTCTGATAGGCTAATTGACATCATTTGAGTCAATTGGAGGTGTACCTGTGGATGTATTTCAACGCCTACCTTCAAACTCAGTGCCTCTTTGCTTGACATCATGGGAAAATCAAAAGAAATCAGCCAAGACCTCAGAAAAAAAATTATAGACCTCCACAAGTCTGGTTCATCCTTGGGAGCAATTTCCAAACGCTTGAAGGTACCACGTTGATCTATACAAACAATAGTATGCAAGTATAAACACCATGGGACCACGCAGCCGTCATACCGCTCAGGAAGGAGACGCGTTCTGTCTCCTAGAGATTAACGTACTTTGGTGCGAAAAGTGCAAATCAATCCCAGAACAACAGCAAAGGACCTTGTGAAGATGCTGGAGGAAACAGGTACAAAAGTATCTATATCCACAGTAAAACAAGTCCTATATGGACATAACCTGAAAGGCCGCTCAGCAAGAAAGAAGCCACTGCTCCAAAACAGCCATAAAAAAGCCAGACTACGGTTTGCAACTGCACATGGGGACGAAGATTGTACTTTTTGGAGAAATGTCCTCTGGTCAGATGAAACAAAAATAGAACTGTTTGGCCATAATGACCATGGTTATGTTTGGAGGAAAAAGGGGGTTGCTTGCAAGCCGAAGAACACCAACCCAACTGTGAAGCACGGGGGGTGGCAGCATCATGCTGTGGGGGTGCTTTGCTGCAGGAAGGACTGGTGCACTTCACAAAATAGATGGCATCATGAGGAAGGAAAATGATGTGGATATATTGAAGCAACATCTCAAGACATCAGTCAAGAAGTTAAAGCTTGGTCGCAAATGGGTCTTCCAAATGGACAATGACCCCAAGCATACTTCCAAAGTTGTGGCAAAATGGCTTAAGGACAACAAAGTCAAGGTATTGGAGTGGCCATCACAAAGCCCTGACCTCAATCCTATAGAAAATGTGCGGGCAAAACTGAAAAAAAGTGTGTGTGAGCAAGGAGGCCTACAAACCTGACTCAGTTACACCAGCTCTGTCAGGAGGAATGGGCCAAAATTCACCCAATATATTGTGGGAAGCTTGTGGAAGGCTACCCGAATTGTTTGACCCAAGTTCAACAATTTAAAGGCAATGCCACCAAATACTAATTGAGTGTATGTAAACTTCTGACCCACTGGGAATGTGATGAAAGAAATAAAATCTGAAATAAATCATTCTCTCTACTATTATTCTGACATTTCACATTCTTAAAATAAAGTGCTGATCCTAACTGACCTAAAACAGGGAATTTTTACTAGGATTACATGTCAGGAATTGTGAAAAACTGAGTTTAAATGTATTTGGCTAAGGTGTATGTAAACTTCCGACTTCAACTGTAGGTTATCATCTGATTTTCACTGGCTACATTTATATGAGATCAGCTCAAATATCATGATCACTTTTATTGCTGTTAACCTACCCAGCAATTTAAAACATGCCATGAATACCTTTCTTGATTTTGGCTAGTTATTGTAGCCCTTTTAACTCTGGATTTATATCAAGGTAGTACAGGATCATAATATCGGAGTGCATGTGTGCACAATTGCTCTAAAGAATAAACAACACACAAATGAGCTGGTGTATGTCTTACATTTCTTTGTGGAGGATTGGGAGAGGGCTACAGTCTGAGTCAGAACCACCATCTTTGTGCTTTGTGAACCCATTGGTGAGTCCTGAAAGAAGACAGAAACCAATTATCAGATATGCCAGACACTTGCAGAGTATAAGTTTAACAAAAATATGCTTCTTCAGCCACTCACCACTCTCCAGTGTATGGTTAGACATCTTGTCCAGCTCCACCTCTGAGATGGCACCTCGACTAGGGTTCCCCCATTCGGGGGTGGTGAATGAGGACGGGGTCGGGGTCTGCTGGGGGGTCTTAGACGGGGTGGATAATGGGGTACTTAAAGCTGAGTTGGGGTTTGGGGAGGCACTGCTGCTAGTGACTGCCTCCCCAGCTTTCCCATTCAGTAAAAGATTGTCTCTCTCTTTCTCTCTAAGCAGCTTTGCTCCGTTTTTTGCTTTTTTGAAAAGCACAGAAGTCCGCCGCCCTACTCCCGTTGTGACGGGGTGTGGGGGCGAATGGTCAGAAAGGCCGTTGACCACGGGCCCTCCACAGTGCAAACTGCGCGCCTCTTCTGCTTTAGTGCAATCATAATTCCCTGTAGCGGCAAGGGTGGGTGTACCATTATCTGAGCTCTCGCTGTCCAATTTCAGACGCTTGTTGGGATGGCCCAGGGTCCTTGGCTCCCCAGTCATGGGGCGCAGGGTGGGAGGCTCCAGGGGCGTGTCTCTCTGCAGAGGGTGAGGTGCCAGGCACGTTGGCTCCAGCAATGGGGGTGGGGTATATTTGAGGTCCTCTGAAAGAGAAGGGACCAATCAAATTGACAATTCATTTACATCAAACTTCGATGATTAATTCAGGGCTTTCGCCATTCTAGCTCTCACAACTGTCCCACATGGGCTTAAAGCAGTAATTAGTAAGGGCGTACAATACAAATACAAAGTAAAATGTTCACAGACCTCAGCAAAAACTAAATGGATAGGTGAGTTACACAACTTCAATGGTATAAACACTAGCATGCTTGAGTAGGGTTTGACTGCCTAGTATTCTCGGTTCCCCCCTGAAATGTGCTACATTGGTGTCAGAAGTGGGATGACATGACTGTATGAGGCGAGTCCACAAGAAGGCGGTGCAGAGGACGACACGAAGCACAGAATGTGCCTGGAGAGGCAACTACGTGGGACCCTACTTACTAGACTGCAGACAGTGAGGTGCTTTAAGTTGGTGCGTAGGGGGACCCTTGCTCAATTACCTAACGATAATTTGCTGTTAGCTCATGTTTGCAACCGGTCTCGTTGCAGCAGAGCAGATCATTAAATAGTCTGTTTCTGGGTATACAGTGCCTTCAGAAAGTATTCACATCTCTTGACTTTGTCCACATTTTGTTGTGTTACAGTCTGAATTTAAAATGTATTAAATTGAGATTGTTTGTCACTGGCCTACACACAATACCCCATAATGTCAAAGTGGAATTACGTTTTTTTACATTTTTAAAGTAATGTAAAATGTAAATGTGAAGCTGAAATATCTTGAGTCAATAAGTATTCAACCCCTTTGTTATGGCAAGCCTAAATACACTGAACAAAAATATAAATGCAACATTTCTACAATTTTACTGAGTTACAGTTCATATAAGGAAATCAGTCAATTGAGATAAATTCTATGGATTTCACATGACTGGGAATACAGATATGAATCTGTTGGTCACAAATACCTTTAAAAAAAGGTAGGGGCGTGGATCAGACAATCAGTCAGTATCTGGTGTTACCACCATTTGCCTCATGCAACGCGACACATCGTTTTCGCATAGAGTTGATCAGGCTGTTGATTGTGGCCTGTGGAATATTGTCCCACTTCTCTTCAATGGCCGTGAGAAGTCGCTGGATATTGGCGGGAACTGGAACACGCTGTCGTACATGTCGATCCAGAGCATTCCAAACACGCTCAATGGGTGACATGGCTGGGGAGTATGCAGGCCATGGAATTGTGTACAGATCCTTGCGACATGGGGACATTATTATGCTGAAACATGAGATGAAACATGAGATGATTGCGGCGGATGAATGGCCTCAGGATCTCGTCACAGTATCTATGTGTATTCAAATTACCAACGATAAAATGCAATTGTGTTCATAACTTATGCCTGCCATAATCCCACCGCCACCATGGGGCACTCTGTTCACAAAGTTGACATCAGCAAAACACAAACTCACACGACGCCATCTGCCCGGTACAGCTGAAACCGGGATTCATCCGTGAAGAGCACACTTCTCCAGCGTGCCAGTGGCCAGCGAAGGTGAGCATTTGCCCATTGAAGTCGGTTACGACGCCGAACTGCAGTCAGGTCAAGATACTGGTGAGGATGACGAGCACGCACACGAGCTTCCCTGAGACGGTTTCTGACAGTTTGTGCAGACATTCTTCGGTTGTTCAAACCCACAGTTTCATCAGCTGTCCGGGTGGCTGGTGTCAGACGATCCAGCAGGTGAAGAAGCCGGATGAGGAAGTCCAGGGCTGGCGTGGTTACATGTGGTCTGCGGTTGTGAGGCCGGTTGGACGTACTGCCAAATTCTCTAAAATGACTTATGGTAGAGAAATTATCATTAAATTCTCTGGCAACAGCTCTGGTGGACATCCTTGCTGTCAGCATGCCAATTGCACGCTCCCTCAAAACTTGAGACATTTGTGGCATTGTGCTACGTGACAAAACTGTAGATTTTTGTGGCCTTTATTGTCCCCAGCACAAGGTGCACCTGTGTAATGATAATGCCGTTTAATCAGCTTCTTGATATGCCACACCTGTCAGGTGGATGGATTATCTTGGCAAAGGAGAAATGCTCATTAACAGGGATGCAAACACATTTTTACACAACATTTGAGAGCTTTTTATGCATTTTGAATATTTCTGGGATCTTTTATCAAATAAAATAAAATGTTATTGGTCATACACACATGTTTAGCAGATGTTATTGCAGGAGTAGCAAAATGCTTGTGTTTGTAGCTCCAACAGTGCAGTAATATCTAACAGTTCACAACAATACACACAATACAAACAAATGTAAAAGTAAAAGAATGGAATTAAGAAATATATAAATTATTAGGACGAGCAATGTCGGCGTGGCGTAGACCAATATACAGTAGAATAGAATACAGTATATACATATGACATGAGTAAAGCAAAAATATGTAAACATTATTAAAGTGACTAGTGTTCCATTATTAAAGTGGCCAGTGATTTCAAGTCTATGTATATAGGACAGCAGCCTCTAAGGTGCAGGGTTACGTAACCGGGAGGAAGCTGCAGAGTGATGGCTATTTAACAGTCTGATGGCCTTGAGATAGAAGCTGTTTTTCAGTCTCTCGGTCCCAGCTCGTGTCTGAGCCGTTGAATTGCGACTCACCTTTGTCTCTATACTGTTGTTTTGCCTGTTTGATTGCCTTATGGAGTGAATAATTACACTGTTTGTATTCGGCCATATTCCCAGACAACTTGCCATGGTTAAATACGGTGGTTCGCGCTTTCAGTTTTGCGCGAATGCTGCCATCTATCCACGGTTCCTGGTTAGGATAGGTTTCAATAGTCATAGTGGGTACAACATCTCCTATACACTTCCTGATGAACTTAGTCACCGTATCCGTGTATTAGTCTATGTTATTCTCAGAGGCTACCCGGAACATATCCCAGTCCGCGTGCGTGATCAAAACAATCTTGAAGCATGGATTCCGATTGGTCAGACCAGTGTTGAATAGTCCTTAGCACGAGTACTTCCTGTTTGAGTTTCTGCCTATAGGAAGGGAGGAGCAAAATGGAGTCGTGATGGCCGGCAGGGATGTAGCTCAGTTGGTAGAGCATGGCGTTTGCAACGCCAGGGTTGTGGGTTCGATTCCCACGGGGGGCCAGTATGAAAAATAAAAAATAATGTATGCACTCACTTAACTGTAAGTTGCTCTGGATAAGAGCGTCTGCTAAATGACTAAAATGTAAAAAAATGTAAAATGTAGTTCTTTGAGGGCCGTCATGGTATCGGCTTGAGGGGGAATATACTGGGCTGTGACTATAACCTAAGATAATTATCTTGGGAGGTAATACAGTCGGGTATTCTAGGTTGGGTGAGGAAAAGGAAAAAACGGAAAGCTCATGAAACAAGGGACCAACACTTTACATGTTGCATTTACATTTTTTGTTCAGTATAAGCTCAGGAGTAAAAATGTGCTTAACAAGTCACATAATAAGTTGCATTGACTCACTCTGTGTGCAATAATAGTGTTTAACACTCATCTCTGTAACCCACACATACAATTATCTGTAAGGTTTCTCAGTCAGGCAGTATATTTCAAACACAGATTCCACCACAAAGACCAGGGAGGTTTTCCAATGCCTCGCAAAGAAGGGCAACTATTGGTTGATGGGTACAAATAAAAAGAGCAGACACTGAGTATCCCTTTGAGCATCCCAAAGTTATTAATTACACTTTGGATGGTGTATCAATACAACCAGTCACTACAGGTGTCCTTCCTAACTTAGTTGCCAGAAAGGAAGGAAACCGCTCAGGGATTTCACCATGAGGCCAATGTTGACTTTAAAACAGTTACAGAGTTTAAATGGCTGTAATAGGAGAAAAATTAGGATGGATGAACAACATTGTCGTTACTCCACAATACTAACGTAATTGACAGAGTGTAAAGAAGGAAGGATGTACAGAATAAAACATTTCCAAAACATGCATCCTGTTTGCAACAAGGCACTAAAATAATACTGCAAAAAATTTGTCAAAGCATTTCAACTTTTTTGCCCTGAATACAAAGTGTTATGTTTGGGGCAAATCCAATACAACACATTACTGAGTACCACTCTCCATAGTTTCAAGCATAGTGGTTGCTGCATCATGTTATGGGTATGCTTGTAATCGTTAAGGACTGGGGAGTTTTTCAGGATAAAAAAAGAAATGGAATGGAGCTAAGCACAGGCAAAAGAGGAAAACCTGCTTCAGTCTACTTTCCACCAAACACTGGGAAATGAAGTCACCTTTCAGCAGGAAAATAACCTAAAACACAAGGCCAAATCTACACTGGAGTTGCTTACCAAGAAGACAGTGAAATTTCATGAGTGGTTGAGTTACAGTTTTTACTTAAATCTGCTTGAAAATCTATGGCAAGAACTGAAAATGGTTGTCTAGCAATGATCAACAACCAATTTGACAGAGCTTGAAGAATTTTGGTAGCCGGCCGCGACCGGGAGACCCATGGGGCGGCGCACAATTGGCCCAGCGTCGTCCAGGGTAGGGGAGGGAATGGCCGGCAGGGATGTAGCTCAGTTGGTAGAGCATGGCGTTTGCAACGCCAGGGTTGTGGGTTTGATTCCCACGGGGGGGCCAGTATGAAAATAATTATTATAATGTATGCACTCACTAACTCTAAGTCGCTCTGGATAAGAGTGTCTGCTAAATGACTAAAATGTAAAATGTAATGGAAAACTCTTACGGACTTACCCAGAAAGACTCACAGCTATAATTGCTGCCAAAGGTGATTCTAACATGTATAAACTCAGGGTTGTGTATATTTATGTAAATGTGATATTTCCGTATTTCATTTTCCATAAATTAGCAACAATTTCTAAAAACATATTTTCACTTTGTTATTATGGGATACTGTGTGTAGATGGGTGAGATATTATTTATTTTTTATAAACGTTGTATTCAGGCTGTAACAACAAAATGTGGAATAAGTCAAGGGGTATGAATACTTTCTGAAGGCACTGTATGTAATCAAATGTCAATATCATACAACAACAGATTGCAGCCGCTTTTATCACCCACCTTTATCTGAAGAAAACAGGCCGCTGTCGACCTCTTCGTCTTTCTCCTCTTCGTCTTTGTCTTCCTCTTCCTCTTTGTCTCCATTGAAGAGCGAGTGGCGGTGGTGCTGGCCTTGTCGATAGCGGATGCTGTTGATCTCGCGCCGCAGGAGGCGGATACGGTGGGTGCGGGCGCCGCTGGAGCGCACGGCGGTCACTACGTCCAGCTTGTCCAGCAGCTCCTTCAGCTGCTCCTCGGGCGACATGTGCAGACGGTTCTCGGGGTCCAGCAGAGTGTCCACTACACAGGGACAGAACACCACACAGTGGATGGGTTTATTATTGGTCAATGGTAAAACCACTGTCAATATCATAGCCCACAAGACAGCAAACTCCTCAACACGATAAAGCAGCTCAAAATAGCTACCCTAAATATTATCATTCACCACAGGCTTGAGCTCACTCCAAAATAAATCAGAACAAAGTATCTGGGCTACAGGCAGAAAAGGTACCAGTGTTTCCCCTATATTCATTTAGGCTGCCATTCCAAAAAACATGTAAAACATTATAAGTACAAAAATAATCACATTTTGGGGGAGGGGGGAATAATTTTGGGGATGTTAAAACGTTTTCAGTGTTAACTTCAGACTAAAACCAGATATAAAGTATGTAGAAAAGATAATGGAGCTCTATAATTTGTAATCATCTTTGAGAACTAACCACCAGAATAAAAACTAGACAGTCAGGGAGAATAAAAAATGCAAAGAATTTCATGGCATGGGGCCCCCATTGATTTTGTCATAATGTTACACTCAGATAGCATAAGAACGTGGCATAAGCCATGGCAAAATGTGTAGAATTACTGCACATTTTCTCTCAGCCCCATGGCAAAATGTGTAGAATTGCAGGAAATTAGCTTTAAAACTGCAATTTTCTCTCGGGACCCATGACAAAATGTGTAGAATTGCAGGACACTAGCTTTAAAACTGTAAAATGTTCTCACCGCCCCATGGCAAAATGCGTAGAATTGCATTTTGTCTCTGCGGCCAATAGAGCCTCTAACATTTTCGGCCGGAGACCGCGCCATTGACCACGTTCACTTCTTGTTGTGAAAATCCCAAACAAATAGAAATAAACAATTCTGGGGCATTTTTTGGGGGACAAAGAATCAGTGATACATTTGTTTGTATTTTACCTTAATCTCTAGAGCAGCAGTACTAGCCTAGCGTAGAGACATTTGTTGCTACAGGTTTACTTAAAAGCTGGGCCACGTTCAACAGAGCACAACATTGTGGAACGTTCAGATAGAAATAGATTACATAGAACAAACATGCCTTTCTGATGTGTAAAATAAGGAATCACGGCAGTTCTATTCATGAAGTTCCACAGCGTTTGCCTACTGAGCGTGGCCCTGGTTCAGAAACAAGCCAACATCCGTGCCACCGCGTTACTCACCGCCCTCCCAGGTGCTCCGGAAGTAGTCATGTTTCTGGGGCGACTCGGCGAGGTGCATTCCCGTGGCCGGGTCCAGGCCCGTGTTGTGGGCCTTTCGCTGGGCGTGGCGGAGGATGGCGCAGCCCAGGTCGCGGAGTCGCAGGGCGGCGCGGTGGAACAGTGTGTCCTTGGCATTGTACAGCAGGCAGTTGGCCACCATCAGGTTGAAGTCGGCCTCCAGGTAGGCCACCGAGTCGTAGCTGTGGACTTCCAGCTTGGAGCGCATGGTGGTGAAGTCCATGGGCTGGCTGATGAACTCCAGATAGTCTGGGACCTGGCGACACAGAGAAGGGAGAGCAGAGAGACCATCAGGTAGAGAGACACAGACAGTCTGAAGTCAAGCCACCATTATCATGTCAATTACATTAATCCGTAGATCTGAAAGGACATGGGATGAGGGGTGATTTGGGACCAAGTAAAAAACATAGGCAACCCTAAGCTAAGCAACAGTTATAGGAAAACATTGACTACGAACAGACAATGGGTCACACATTGACTTGGCAATTCATAACAAAGCTGAACAGACCACGTGGTAGTTTTCATGACGCATGCAGCAGGACACCTCCCAACACCACCACAACACATCATAAACCATATGAAGGAATCGGATGCCCAGTATCAATTACAAACAGATCTCAGTACTGTGCAGGCTATGTATAATTTTCCCTGAACATCTCCCCGGCAGTTCAGTATGACCTCAGAAATACGAACACGTCGGAAATGGAGGTCATTTGGGACAATTAATAATAATAATAATAATAATAATATGCCATTTAGCGGACGCTTTTATCCAAAGCGACTTACAGTCATGTGTGCATACATTTTTGTGTGGGTGGTCCCGGGGATCGAACCCACTACCCTGGCGTTACAAGCGCCGTGCTCTACCAATTGAGCTACAGAGGACCAAAGTTACTGACATAACTTTGAAATTCACATAAAACCGCTTCAAATCTTTATAAAAATATATTGATAACGTCAATTTACGTGCATTTTCTAAATAAATAATAAATATGTTTTTAAACACGTTAGCAACATTTACGTTTGCCTGTAGCGTACACAAGTAGTTTTATTTTAATTTAACACATGTCCCAGTTTGATATTGCTCGTTCAGTTGACCGGTCAGTCTGTAACTATGAAGTTCATTTCTTCAAGGTTCAACAGTATTAGCATGGTGACGGACCTCCTTGAGATTGACGGGCTGTGCAAATATCTGGCCCACATCTTTCTCCTGCAGCTTGTCCAGTGTAGAGCGCAGCAACACCTGCACCGGGGTCAGCTGTAGCTCCAGGGCCGCCTGGTGAACCTTGACCTTTGGGGAAGCATAGAGAGAGGGGTGGTGGGGTCAGAAGGGAGGCCAGCAACACAGACTCATGTAAATCTAAATTCCTCAGCAGACTATAGGTCAGTGTTTTCCCTAAGTACATGAAGTAGCCAGCCAAATAGAACAAGTATTCAGCCAGAGTGCTTATTTTGCCGAACAATTTCTATTTTGGTGGCCTCTGGTACATTCTAATGCCTTGTTTCCAATCCGAAATACACAGCTCAATTATTTAATACTTTAACGAGTTGGTGAATTGAGTTATGGTATTGAATAGAAAGACATGATTTTACAATAGAAATGACTGAATACGTATGAATTAGGTGTATTGTTAGTTGTTTTGGATATCGTCTAAGCCTATACGATCAGGTCAATTTTTCTAAGAGAACATTACACCTTTTTAAACATTAAACCAGTCTTCTCTTGAGATTAAAGTCATATTTACTGTTTTACTGCAAGATCTGAATTGCCACAATGTTTGTTCATCAAATTATGTATTTTATTGGCTCTGTGGCTGTGGACAGACTTCCCAGGCTCATCTTCCAGCTAAAAAAAATACAAATACACACTGATATTTTCCTCTATTTTGCTGGTTAAGTTGGACAAAAGGATAAAGTTAAATCACATACTCATATATAAAATGTCTATATTGCACATTTCCATATAAAGAATTGCATTTATTTTAAACGTAAATATTTTTCACATCAATTCAATTAATGAAGGATTTCAACAAGTGTTTGCAACTCAAAAAGAATCCTTTAAGAGTCTGACAAATTTTCTTTTCTTGGGCATTTTCTGTCTGCAATAGACGTACAGGTATGATTGAAGAATGAAGCAAGTGTTAAACATGGGCTTTGCTACACAGAAAGCAGCAGTTGAATACTCCATTGTTAACACTTTAATCAAATCAGTAAGCCTATATCAATATCTTTAATATTACCATATAAGTATCATTAGCTTCTAACAGTATTATCATTTCTGGGCAACAACTTACTGTGATAGATTTCAATCAAAATGTTCAAAAAGAAACAAACATAGCTTCTTAGCAATTTCTCAAGCAAGAATTTTGTTGGAGTAGAATAGCTTTTATTGGCAGAGAGGTTTGGAACTCTCTTATTGGTCTATTAATTTACCGCATGGTGATATCACCAGATGTTACCAGGCAGGCCAAGACATTATTTTACAATAAAAATTACTGAAAATGTATAAATTCAGTTTATTGTTAGTTGTTTTGGATATCGGCTAGGCCTAGGCCTACGTGATTAGGACTAAAGGGAATCCCAGTTTTCCAGTGCTACCACATTTATTTATCTACTCCTTAAATTGTGTGCATGGCATCGTTTGAAAAAATGCAATTACAACCAGTTTCAAGCATGCCCAGTGCAGTCCAAAACGTGATTTTCCTGTGTTTTATATAGCCACATTGAGGTTGGAATAATACTGTGAAATTGTGAAAATGATAATGCCCTTTTAGTGTAAGAGCTGTTTGAAAAGACCGCCTGAAATTTCAGCCTGTTTTGGTGGGATGGAGTTTTGGCCTTACATGGTGACATCACCATGCAGTAAATTAGTTAATAGACCTATAAGAAAATGAGTTCCAAATCTATGCCAATAACAGTTAATTTTCCATTTTCCCTCCCCACCCAATGCTTCCAACAAACGATGTACTGAAGAGAGGAATGGTGACGACACTACGAAATGTGTGGATACAGTCCCTTTTCAGATCGTTTATTTTGCCCTTTAAAGCATTATGGTAACTACATAGTAACAAAATCCATAAAAAGAAAAAATACATGTAGAATTGCAAAGCTTTTAAAGGACAGTAGTTACATTGACAGTTGCTTGAGAAATTGCCCTTTGCTAAGAAGCTATTTTTGTTTCCTTTTTACAATTTTAATTGAAAACAATAACAGTAAGCTACTTAATTGTTGCATTGGACCTTTAAATGAAAAGTAGCCTAGTCAATTTAAGTGGGAAAAGTAGCCAGACGAAAATGAGTCTGTTATCGGCTGTTTAGCCGACGGTCGGAGATTAGGGAAAACACTGCTATAGGTACTGTATGAAAGAGTATCTTGACCTTTTATTTACGTGGGGAACTCATTGACAAAAAAAAATATCAGTAATAACCTGAATTGTCAAAGCATGGACAGTCCAGTCCAGGGTTCCCCAATTGGCAAGCCTGCGTGCCAAATTATTTGGCCCCCCAAGTTTTGTTTTGTTTTGGGGGACATGAAACAATTTAAAATCACCAGCACATCAGCTCCAAGTGATATTAATTTTGGAAATCTGTTCCAAAGTACTCCCATGCATAATAGAGAGATACAGTATATGTGATCATATACAAATGTAAGCAAGGTTTGAAATGATTATGTTTTAGTCAAATATATCGGTTTGGGTTTCTTGCAGTCAATTTGCAGTCTACAAATTATTTGTAATTATGAGCGGATTGGCCCCCTGACCAATAAAAATATCGGCCCACGACTGAATCTAGCTGATGATCCTTGGTCTCTCCCTGCCTGCTCTCTCTTCAGTTTCTCCCGTTTGCGGATGAGCTCCACCAATAGCCGGGCTCTCTCCAGGTCGTGTCGCAACTTCTGCCAGTACTTCAGCTCCTCCCTCACAGCACACACCTTCTCATCTTGCTCCGGCTGCAAACACACAGAGATTAATTCAAACAACTCCCCGACATACAATTGAAGCAACCCCTATATTGTATCACTTAATGAACGAGAAGACATGATGGGAAAGAAATTGGACAGGTGAAAGCAAATTCCTGGTAAAGATACACCATTTTGCTTTTACCCGTCCTGTTTTCTACTATTTATTCAGTTAAGATGAAGGAGAGGAGATGGGGAGAGAAGATGAGGAGAGAAACCACTCCCAGACAGTCCTAGCAAAAATGTTGCTTGAGAAATCGCTCTTTGTTATGAAGCTAGTTTGTTTTTGACCGTTTTAATTAAAAACAATCACAGTATGGTACTTAATTGTTACCCAGAAAACAGCTGCACTGGACCTTTAATATTATTGAGATGCACCTGGGGATTTGAATTTACTGAACATCATTGTTATACTCCCAGGAGCATATTCAATTTAACAGATATAAATGTATTAGAACACACATGATTCCAAAAACATGTACAATTTTAAACAGAGTTTGACAGCTGTACTAATGATATTTCTCCAGATTCTATATTTCTACTGATATCTGCACTCTTTCATTACATTGCATCCAACAAAATAAGCCCCTGGTGTTAACATGCCCCTTTGACCTTGGAGTGCCAAATGACCTCTGACCTGTTCAATGTGCCTCTGTGATTGGACGTGGGAGTGCAGGCGACGAATGAGTCCGACCCCGTTCCGTGACTGGCGTTTCAGGAGCCAATAGTTGTGCAGCCTTTGCATGAACTGTTTCTTCCTCTGGACAAGAATCCCTTTGCAGATGTTGTTTAACCTGTGTGTCATCGGGAGGGGTTCAACACACAACTCAAAGTAAGCTCAGACTCCTTAGTCTCTGTTCATTGCTACAACATTTTTAAGTTATTGAAATACCGTATGGGCAACATTCAACTTTGCACATTGTCAACGTGCATCTGGAGTAGGGATGAGGCCCCATGTACATTTAAACATCTTACACACGGAGTCTACAACCACTCCACAAATTTCTTGTTAACAAACTATAGTTTACTTTGTGCATGACACAAGTAATTGTTCCAACAATTGTTTACAAACAGATTATTTCACTTATAATTCACTGTATCACAATTCAGTGGGTCAGAAGTTTACATACACTAAGTTGACTGTGCCTTTAAACAGCTTGGAAAATTCCAGAAAATGATGTCATGGCTTAAGAAGCTTCTGATAGGCTAATTGACATTATTTGAGTCAATTGGAGGTGTATCTGTGGATGAATTTCAAGGCCTACCTTCAAACTCAGAGCCTCTTTGCTTGACAACATGGGAAAATCAAGCCAAGACCTCAGAAAAAAGATTGTAGACCTCCACAAGTCTGGTTCATCCTTGGGAGCAATTTCCAAACGCTTGAAGGTACCATGTTCATCTGTACAAACAATTGTACGCAAGTATAAACACCATGGGACCACGCAGCCATCATACCGCTCAGGAAGGAGACACATTCTGTCTCTTAGAGATGAACGTACTTTGGTGCGAAAAGTGCAAATCAACCCCAGAACAACAGCAAAGGACCTTGTGAAGATGCTGGAGGAAACAGGTACAAAGGTATCTATATCCACATTAAAAACGAGTCCTATATCGACATACCCTGAAAGGCCGCTAAGCAAGGAAGAAGCCACTGCTCCAAAACACTTTTTGGAGAAATGTCCTCTGGTCTGATGCAACAAAAATAGAATTGTTTGGCCATAATGTCCATCGTTATGTTTGGAAGAAAAAGGGGGTAGCTTGCAAGCCGAAGAACACCATCCCAACCGTGAAGCACGGGGGTGGCAGCATCATGCTGTGAGGGTGCTTTGCTGCAGGAGGGACTAGTGCACTTCACAAAATAGATGGCATCATGAGGAAGGAAAATTATGTGGATATATTGAAGCAACATCTCAAGACATCAGTCAGGAAGTTAAAGCTTGGTCGCAAATGGGTCTTCCAAATGGAAAATGACCCCAAGCATACTTCCAAAGTTGTGGCAAAATGGCTTAAGGACAACAAAGTCAAGGTATTGGAGTGGCCATCACAAAGCCTTGACCTCAATCCTATAGAAAATGTGTGGGCAGAACTGAAAAAGCGTGTGCGAGCAAGGAGGCCTACAAACCTGACTCAGTTACATCAGCTCTGTCAGGAGGAATGGGCCAAAATTCACCCATCTTATTGTGGGAAGCTTGTGGACGGCTACCCGAAACGTTTGACCCAAGTTAAACAATTTGAAGTCAATGCTACCAGATACTAATAGAGTGTATGTAAACTTCTGACCCACTAGGAATGTGATGAAATAAATAAAAGCTGAAATAAATTATTCTCTCTACTATTATTCTGACATTTCAAATTCTTAAAATAAAGTGGTGATCCTAACTGACAGGGAATTTTTACTAGGATTAAATGTCAGGAATTGTGAAAAACTGAGTTTAAATGTATTTGGCTAAGGTGTATGTAAACTTCTGACTTCAACTGTATATATATGCACTGTCAATTGAAAAAGTAGCACCAAAGTCTTTGCAATTGCAAAAAATCTCTCCTCACATCAACCCTCAGCACGTTGATGCGTGAGTCTGGGTATTTATATGCTGACCTCACGCCTCAACAAGCTTCTGATTGGTCAGTGTCAATACTCCTGGCCACCATTGATTGGCAGAAGTGTGAAGCATAGGTGCATGCCCACAGAATAGTGTTTCGAGGGTGTGAGAGGGAGGCATCCGCACGATCTCAGCCATCCACATAAAGAGATGCGCGTGCAATTATTGAACTGGGAACATTTTCACGCCGGGAGAACTTTTACAGCATGACGTCACAGTCAGAGCACGATCAGAACGATTGGGAACTATGCCACCTGGCACCTACTACCATACCCCATTCAAAGGCACTTAAATATTTTGTCTTGCCCATTCACCCTCTGAATGGCACACACACACTATCCATGTCTCAATTGTCTCAAGGCTTAAAAATCCTTCTTTAATCTGTCTCCTCCCTGTCATCTACACTGATTTAAGTGGATTTAACAGGTGACATCAATACGGGATCATAGCTTTCACCTGGTCAGTCTGTCATGGAAAGAGAAGGTGTTCCTAATGTTTTTTGAAAATACTTTCATGAGCGCGTAAAGACAGTATGGGTAGAATCCTGCTAGCTAATGTTCCACTAACAACAATAAGAGGCTGGTGAACACAGACAGACCTTTGAGAGGGGATCTGTGGAACCGTGACCATCGGTGTAGTGGCGGAACGACAGGCAGCCGCCTCCAGATCCTTCTTCCCCTTCCCCTGCTTGACCTCCTTCTTGCTTCGCTTCTGCACTAGTGGGGACTCAGTGTAGGCACTGCGCCCTCGGCTGGCCAGGCCCCCCATCACCCTCCCAGTGGTCTCCTCCTCGTCCGACCCCACTACGCCCTCCTCCTGGCCGGGCGGCGAGTGTGCCTCGCAGAAGGCTGTCTTCTTCACCGAGAAGGTGGTGCCGTTGATGTTGGTCTCGCGCACGGGGTCGATCTTCATGAAGAGGCCGGCGCGCTGGGCGCATGAGACGTGGAAAGCTGTGTAGCAGTTGGCCTTGTGGCACTGGATTGCAGCGCCGCGGACCTTCTGCTTGCACAGGTAGCAGGTGAGCTTCCACCGGGCGGGCGGAATGTTGTCAACCCCTTCCACGGGCTCCAGGAACACTGTGTTGGCGAAGCACACCTCAGGGATCCAGATGGCGCACACCACGTGGGCCCAGCGCCCGTCGCTGGTCTGCTTAAAGGCACCACCCCGGTTGGGACAGAGCACACAGTCCACCGGCCGCTGGGGAGACTGCAGGCAGCAGCGGCACAGCCACTGACCCTCAGGGATATAGGGCACGCCGTAGCACTCCTGGTGCACGGCCAGGTTGCAGGCGTCACAGAAGAGAATAACATTGCTGTTGAGGCACTCGTCGTCCAGGCACACGCAGCAGAAGGCGTCGTCATCGATGGCGCTCTGTGAGGGAGCCCGGCTGCGAGCCTCCCGGTATGACTCCTCCTCCAGGCGGTCCACCAGAAGCTCGAAGGTGTCGGGGGAGATAGTGGCGTGGCCGTCTGACGTCCGCCTAGTGTTCACCATCTCCAGCCAGGCCGCGTCCTCATCATCCATGTCATACTCTGCCTCCGCCTCCTGCTCTTCCGCCGAGCGCTCTATGTAGCGGTAGTAGGCCACAGGCAGAGGGGGCACAGCACAAGGGCTGAAGGTCTCCAGCATGCGAAAGGTGGGCTCAGGGAGGGGGGTGTGGTGATGGTTGTGTGAGGAGGAGTTGGTTTTGTAGTAAGGTTGTGAGTGAGCGTTAGGGCAGTAGTTCTGAGGGGTGGAGGAGGACGACGATGATGTGGAGGAGGCATGTTTGGAGTATTTCTTGAGGCCTCTGGGCATGGCAGGTGGCTTGCTTCCGGGGTTGGCTGGTGCGAGGGGCTGTTTGCTGTTCTCTTTGTTGCTGTTGCACTCTGCGATGTCCTGGGCCATCCTCTCGTCCTCCGTGATGACAGTCAGACGGTCCACAATGGAGATCCGGTGGAGCCTGCCGTCCAAGTCCACTTCCACCACTTTCTGGGTCTGGGAGTAAGTTAACGTCTCTCTGGTGGGGGACAGCTTTAGGCTGTAGGGTGAGGGGGAGCGTTGGCGGGGCCCTCCTCGCCCCCTACCAGCTTGGTCAGACTTCCTCCCACCACAATCCCCTCCACCGGCCAGGTGGCCCCTCCGGCGTGGCTTCCTCATGCGCCTCCAACCACACAAAGCCCAACACACTTCTGCAACAAGATGAAGGAAAGAACCTACTGTTAGAAACTCAGAACTGCAAATGGCTAGATGAGAATATCCAACAGATGGCAGGGCTTAAAACTGCGACCAAAACACTTCCAGTATTTAACTAGGCAAGTCAGTTAAGAACAAATTCTTATTTACAATGACAGCCTACCCTGGCCAAACCCGGATGACGCTGGGCCAATTGTGCACCGCACTATGGGACTCCCAATCACAGCCGGATACTGATACAGCCTGAACTGCGTCTGCAATGACGCTTCTAGCACTGAGATGCAGTGCCTTAGACCCCTGCGCCACTCGGGAGCCAGGTTTTTAGACATTTTTGCTAATATATAAAATATTAAACAGAAATACCTTATTTACATAAGTATTCAGACACTTTGCTATGAGACTCGAAATTGAGCTCACGTGCAACCTGTTTACATTGATCATCCTTGAGATGTTTCTACAATTTGATTGGGTCCACCTGTGGTAAATTCAATTGATTGTACATGATTTGGAAAGGCACACACAGTTGACAGTGCATGTCAGAGCAAAAACCAAGCCATTTGGTTGCACGAATTGTCCGTAGAGTTGAGACAGGATTGTGTCGAGGCAGAGATCTGGGGAAGGGTAGAAAAACATTTCTGCAGCATTGAAGGTCCCCAAGAACACAGTGGCCTCCATTATTCTTAAATGGAAGAAGTTTGGAACCACCAAGACTCTTCCTAGAGCTGGCCGCCCGGCAAAACTGAGCAATCGGGGGAGAAGGGCCTTGGTCAGGGAGGTGACCAAGAACCCGATGGTCACTCTGACAGAGCTCCAGAGTTCCTCTGTGGAGATGGGAGAACCTTCCAGAAGGACAACCATCTCTGCAGCACTCCACCAATCAGGCCTTTATGGTAGAGTGGCCAGACGGAAGCCACTCTTCAGTAAAAAGCACATGACAGCCCGCTTGGAGTTTGCCAAAAGGCACCTAAAGACTCTCAGACCATGAGAAACAAGATTATCTGGTGTAATGAAACCAAGATTGAACTCTTTGGCCTGAATGCCAAGCGTCACGTCTGGAGGAAACCAGGCAACGCTCATCACCTGACCAATACTATCCCTACGGTGAAGCATGGTGGTGGCAGCATCATGCTGTGGGGATGTCTTTCAGCGGCAGGGAGACTAGTCAGGATCGAGAGCACTTAGGACCTCAGACTGGGGAGAAGGTTCACCTTCCAACAGGACAACGACCCTAAGCACACAGCCAAGACAACGCAGGAGTGGCTTCGGGACAAGTCTCTGAATGTCCTTGAACCCGATCGAACATCTCTGGAGAGACCTGAAAATAGCTGTGCAGCAACCATCCCCATCCAACCTGACAGAGCTTGAGAAGATCTGCAGAGAAGAATGGGAGAAACTCCCCAAATACAGGTGTGCCACGCTTGTAGCATCATACCCAGGAAGACTCGAGGCTGTAATCGCTGCTTCCACAATTACTGAGTAAAGGGTCTGAATACTTATGTAAATGTGATATGTACAAAATAATAAAAATAATAATTTTGCAAACATTTATAAAAACCAGTTTTTGCTTTGTCATTGTGGGGTATTGCGTGTAGATTGATAAGGGGGGAAAAAAACTATTTAATTCATTTTAGAATAAGGCTGTAACGTAACAAAATGTGGAAAAAGTGAAGGGGACTGAATACTTCCCGAAGGCACCGTACATTTGCAACCCTTTGACTTGGCAGTGTAACACCAATGTTAGTTTTTTTGCTGGTCACATTAGTTTTTGGTTCACAACTTTATTATCAAGATTTATTCAAACAACAATGGGTAAGCAACAATGGGTATGCAAACCAGGATTTCAAAAAGTTTGGCCCGAACTCTTGGTTGAATCTGCGATGCACAATTCAGTCACCATGTGCTGTTGGAATGAAAACTTCTAAAGGCTTTCCCAAAAAACCTTCACAATTAAATGTTGACTGCAAAGTAGGCCTACCTGGCAGAATTACATCATGATTTGTATCAATTGCGGGGCATTTGTTTTGCAAACTCTACCATCACATGTAGCCTACACTGTACATTGGCTAGCAGTGTTTTTGTACTGGGGGGGGGGGGGGGGGGGGGGGGTATACCGAGGGGGGGATACCCCCGTAATATCACGGTACCAAAACATCATGATACTTATACCAACATTTTACAATACCATAGTAATGTTTCATATGATACAATCAAATGTTACAGTCCTACCAATCTAAAGAACCCGCTGGCGCCTGTTTATAAAATGTTAATAAAATCAGTTATGTTTATAAATTCAGTCGATTTTTTTAAGCAACAGCCACTAGTGTCTTGCAAGGACCAGTCCAATATTGTCTACTTCATGTGCATATCATATCATGTGTTGGAGCTGTAATCAGCCAGCTGGGTCCCCTTCCAGCCATCACTCACCTGCTTCTCTCCGTCAGCTCTTCCTGTGCATCTATTCCTCAAATCAGTTTTTTAAATATAATTTAGCCGTGATGGCGAGAGGGGGATGCAGTCCCTGATGAGTCTTCTGTTGTTACATTTGTACATTTGATACATTAGAGCAGTTCACAGAGCACAGGGCAGTCTGAGTAGGCTTTGCAAGCTCGCTGTCATGCAGCCACCGAGTGCCAGGGAGGACAAATGGAGCACAGCTGCGTGACAGGCATGCTTGCAGCTTTACAGCAAAGAAAACGGCTCTTCTCTAGCTCAAACGGTAAAGACAACATGACCTATATTACCGGAGCTACTTTCTTTTTATATATCAATCTCTTTCTGGTGCTCCTTAAATTCTGTTTGGTGCCTAACGTTTTTAAAGTTGGAAGCAGTGTGTGTATGTGTTTGTGGGAGAGAGAGTGGTGTGCGTGTATATGAGAGAGGGAGACAGAGAGATTGTGTGAGGGAGGGAGGGTGTGTGTCTGTTTACTGAAGAGTAAAGAAGGTTTCATGCAGTGTTTTCCCCTGGGTGCCACAATGACATGCATATCATAATGGATTTATATTCCTTCCTCCCATTTCTTCAGCCAAATCACATGTAGGCCTTTGCAAATATGAGCAAATCAACCATTCTATGCAGTATTCTATTATATAGTATGAAGGTAAATTATACGTGTTGTATTGAGTAGTGTGAATATCAGTTACAGGTTTTTTGTGTAGCACATGCGCATAACGTTTAGAAAATGTGAACAAGCATTGTGGGGACGGGGCAAACAGGACACTAGGCCACTTAATTGTTTTCTGATGGTACTTGGTTTGGTATCGTAAGTAAAATGAACACCATCTCTCAGACCTCAAAAGGGGTCTCCTGATGTGGTTTAAGCATTGTTGTGGACTTAGAACATACAATGTGTAGTTTTTCTATAAAAAGTGTGATTTTGAAAGGGAAAACCTAAATAAAACCGGAAAACTGAATTAACCAAAAGATTAAACTGATTTTATATGGCCCTACAACTGTAGAGTGAATGCTCAAAATTGCTAACACCCTTTTTGAGATTGTGCAAAGGTTAAATTTTTTCCCTCCAAACAATCAATGTAAATATGATATTGTCAAGTTAAAATTGAATTATTTGTGTATGGAGGGTAGGTCATTATAGGCTATTTCCTCAGCCCTCAAATTAAACATAACATTTAAATGATGCGTGCATCATCTGCTTTCCCGGGCCAGTAGCTTTCAGTTGGCACTGGCCCGGTGTACCACTGGCAAATTTATCTGCAAGGGCATGCTATTTTAAAAGATGGGTAGTCATTATTAGCCTGGTTCTGTATAGAATGCAGGTAGGTACATTATGGGACCAAATCATGTGCTGGGGCCATCACCTGAAAAAGTTAGTAGCACCAGTGGAAAAAGTCTAGTTGGCCAAGGATAGCTATCCATCCCTTAGAGCAGGAGTTTGAGCACTCTGATAGATCAGTATGTGACTGACTACCAAATAGTAGTGCTACTTCAACACATACACACAAAATGTCATCCCATGTTAGCTAAACTGATAAAAGTACAGAAAGCTACTAAAATAACTAGTACTACTACAGTAAGTTACTCTCCACAACAAGTCAATCATGAGCACTTTATCTCATAAAACAGACAGCAACTACCAACAGCAGTAGTCACTAGTTACCACAGCCACAGTCAAAAAACCCACCTATTTCTACAATGTATCTTCTTAAAATGAGATTTTGAACCTAACCTTAACTTCATGCCTAACCATAACCTTAAATGAAGACCAAAAAGCTCATGTTTGTTTTCATGAATTTTTTCGATATAGCCAATTTTGACATTTTGGCAGAGATTGGTCAACCCTACAAGGCTACACATCCAATCATTTCTCTCGGTATATGTCGCACGTCACTACTTCACAGGAGAGGCATTCGAACGTAACCATTTTTTAAATATATATATTTTTTTATATGTTATTTTGGCAGAAATTCATTCTGGAACGTGAACTTTCATGTGCATCATTAATAACAAACTTGTATGACTTTTTCCACATTTTGTTATGTTACAGCCTTATTCTAAAATTTCTTAAACTGTTTTTTTCCCCCCCTCATCAATCTACACAATACCCCATAATGACAAAGCAAAAATAGGTTGAGAAATTGTAGCAAATGTATTTTAAAAATTATTTATATAGCACACACACACACACACACACACACACACACATACAGTACCAGTGAAAAGTTTGTCAACTCTTTTTTCATTTTTTTTTACTATTTTCTACATTTTAGAATAATAGTGAAGACATCAAAACTATGAAATAATAAAATAATATAATATAATATGCCATTTAGCAGACGCTTTTATCCAAAGCGACTTAAATAACACATATGAAATCATGTAGTAACCAAAAAAAGTGTTAAACAAATCAAAATATATTGTATATTTGAGATTCTTCAAATAGCCACAGCTTTGCGCACTCTTGGCATTCTCTCAACCAGCTTCACCTGGAATGCTTTTCCAACAGTCT